CTACTATCCATCTCACATGGAAGAGACTATAATCTTTCCACCCTCTTTGGAACTCAGGCCAAATTTATCAAAGGGAATTCTGATTTTAGATAGGTTGTTTCAACAGTATGTCAAGCAACACAGTGTCCCCACAACTTTGAAATAAAACAGAGGACTTGGGACCTGAAACAATTTATTTCTTTGAGTTTCAGGTCTTTCATCTGTAAAAAAAAAATAAAGCATTAGTTCCCAGGGTGGTTATATGGTTAAATGTGATAATATATGTTATCACAGATATAGAATCTTGTGTATGTGCAAATTTTTCTTTGAAATACAAAATCTATGTTCTAATAGTTTAAAAGTTCTACACAGGTGACTTATAGCAGTCATTTAATATTGTTGGGCATTCCATATCATCATATCTTTACCTATAATGGTTGTAGCTTTAGGTGCAGCATAAAACAGAACCTTCAATAAAGGAATAATATTATGAATATTATCCAGTTATCTTACACACCTATTAAATTACCTATAAATTCTTTTAAGTATTTTTCTCAAGTAAAATTTTGATTTTATTTTAATTATAGGCGAGAACCACCCAACATTTAGAACAACTTATCCCACTCAGGTATTTTTTCCCACCAAAGGAATATATTGATATACACATATATAAAATATCAATGTGTTAAGTTGTCATATCACTTATATAAACAACTACTAACAGAAAAGTTTTCTTACAGATGCATGCATTTTGGTTCTGAAAAGATATATTCAAATATCTATTGCTTATATAGAAAAGACATTAGGGTCTTAATGTCAGCCATAGGAAGAAAGGAAACATCATTGACCTTGGGCAGGGACAGGGGAGAGTTAAAGGACACAAAATGTTATTTTGGAATTGAGTTTAGCTGCAGGGTTCTGGTTGGCATTCATAAACTGCACAATGCTCTATGCAGCTAAAAGTAATGTACCTGATTGTTGCTATCTTAGGGAAAACAGAGTTAATCTTTTTGTTCATTATTTTAGGATAGTTTACATTTGCAGTTACTTTTATCACCAGAAAGTAACTTTTAGACAATATCTGTCTGTGGTCTCATTTGTATATTTACTTAATATTTGATTGTTATAATGAAATAGTGAATATCACTGTTCAGAGTGCTTGCCAAGTATTGGTCCCCTTAATCAGTATCATCTCATTTAATCCATGGGGTAGATTTTATAGATGAGGAATATGAGAAGTCAGAATTTCGGTAACATACTTGAGGTCACACAAGGAGTAAATGATAGAAGAATCATCTTAATCATTGAATTCCCATGAGGTGTCTGCAATGGGCCTAACCCCTAAACCACATAGCTTCTAGATCTTTAATGTGCGATCATATTACTTAGGGATCAGGTTAGAAGGCACATTCTAACTCAGTCGGTCTGGGTAGCCTGAAATTCAACATTTCTAATCATGTTCTCAGGTGATATCAACACTGCTGGTTCATGGACCACACTTTAATATCAAAGCACTACTAGATGTAAGCACAGTGTGCATTTGCAGAAACCAAAACTAGATTTCAAGGACAAGTTTTTGCATGCTTCGTTCAGTGGTAACAATGAAAATATCTGGATACCTCCACCCAACAGAATTGCAATGAGATGAGATTTCCTGGTCCTTACTAATAAATCTAGACTGGTCTAATATTCAGAATTAAAGTAAGATAACTTTATAAAATGTAGGTTTGTGTATAGTGATCAACAGCAATTCACAGTTATAATACAATTCGTCTTAAATATTGTGTATTCAGTCTTCGTAATAGATCTAAGTGACAATAGAGTATGATCATTACTTTTGAGCGAACAGAAACCCAAAGTAAGTGGCACCCACCACAGGTCATTTGGGTAGCAGGATAACACACATCCAGGCCTTCCCATCCCATGTCTAAATGCTTTTCTTCTTTTCTACGAGCTGACCCTTTGCTCAACTCATTAACAAAAAACTAAATGGATACAGAAATTTATTAGTATTGAAACAGCTAAGACTTAGTCACAATCTGATTTGGCTTGAAATCCATAGATAATCAAGGTCAAAATGATTCAAAAGCATTGAGACTAACTTTCAGTTGTCTTACATTAGTATGAACCTGTCTGAATACAAATAGCACAGCTGCATGGATCACTTTATTAAGCTCCTAAAACAAAATAAAATGTAAGGAAGTTGTTTTCTTAGTCGTGTCTACTCCCATACCCCAAGATCATCTATGGAGAGATATTTGTATCATGTACTTCCCAGATCTGTAGGTTTGGTGTACCTGGCAGGAGATTGGTTATGTTACCTCTTGTGTTTACTTTAAGGAGCTAAACATGTTGGAAATAATGTCTTCTTCATATACAGATGTTTTAAAATTTTTATAAAATCATACTCAGACTTCAGAGCCGATCTCTAAATATCAAGTATATTTACCGTCTTTGGAGGGCTACTAATGTTATCACAGAAAAAAATTCCTCCAAGTTACTGTGGAAACAAAGTAATAAAGATAAATCAAGAAATGCTGTCAGTCACTAGGATAGGAAAATACCAGAATCTCCACACATAAAAAAACTTCTCAGAATAGACAGCAAAGTTGCTTATCATGTTTATGATTTATAATGCTATTTTTCTGACAATCAACAAAATACCTTCATTCTTGAGAGAAATCCTTAGCTGGCACCTCATTATTACTGTGTTCACCCTATAAATTTTTGAAGTGGTTTTAAGAAGAAGAATGAAGTTATTTTGACAAATTGTGTTTGGTTCATTCTTGCGTACACTTACATCTAAAACCTTAAGACTGGGTTTATTCAGAGCTATCCTAATACCTTAAAGTCTACTAGATCAACTAGATCCACATCAAGTTGTATTGAACCCATCATGCAAGACATTCTCGAAGTGAGTAGAGAACTCCAACTGTGCTAGACCTAGTACTCTGTTACTGGAGAGAAGTCTCTGAACAATGTCTTGCTGGGCACAGCAGGATAAGCACTCCCTCCAACCCCCAACAAGGCTTCAACATTTTCTATTAGCCATCAGGATTAGTAAAAGGACCTTAGCAATACCTGGCTAACTTTTTTTAAAAAGAAAAGTTCAGGTAAAAAGAATTATCTGTGACATAGTTTTCTTCTTTCATTAATTTTTGTTGGTGTCTATTCAGAAGGTATGGAAGGCAAAGGAATGAATATATCACACAGCTTCTACCTAACTCTCTCACTTGTCATTGACCACTCCTTCCAGACACTCTGATCTTTCTGTCCTCAGTTCCTCAAACGCACCAAGCTGCTACCAGCTCTTAGTTGTTAGACCCTTTCTGTCCACAGTAAACATCCCCAGTCTCATTCTTGTGTTCCCTTGTGATATATATATTATAGTGGTACGTTTCCTTCATAATACTTGCAGTGAGTAGCGTGCCTAACTCTTTCTTTAATGTCTAGCTTTTCTATTAAAGTGTAAGCAACATGGGAGCTGGGACTTACCTATTCACCATTGCATCCTCATCACTATTTGCAATGATTGCCCCCAGTCATTCAGCAAATATTTGTTGAGTGATTCTTGAGCCAAAGTGCAAAGTACAGAGGCATCGTTCATGTTTACATCCCTTACAATGGCCAGAGAATAACACCTTATGCATAAGAAGGCAATTTGTGAGAAATTTTTACACTTAAAAGCAGAATATTTTTCAGGAAAAAATTGGGAAGTCTCTAAATGTGATTGTGAAAAGATTTCTTTAATGAGAACAGACTTAAATTTGACCTAATGATTACTTTGAGTGTCTTGGGTAAAGTTTTTATGGACTAAGACTTGTAAGGATTTATTGATCAGTATGAGGAGCAGGATTTTTGTGTTCCCTCCACATATATACATTAGAATAGTAATAGAAACTCACCTGAATGGCCAATTTTAAACTACATTTATGGGTCATTCAAAAATTGAACCTTGTAGAAAATGTCAAAGATGTAATTTTTGAGAAGGCAGGTTCAGCTTTTTCATCTAGGAATATTCTGAACATATGCTATGGATGAAACTTTATATCAAGTGCCCAGGAAGAAATGTATTACTATTTCCTTAAAATGTTTGAGTAAAAGTAACTAGCTCACACTTACACATCTCATTTTACTGTCTTTTATAAAGAAGATAGACTAGGAGACAAGATAGTCCACCCCCAGAAGGCCAGTAACCTTTTTTAAAAATTCATTCTGCAAAAACTATGTTTATGGTTCCTCTGAATGTATAACAAGGATTATGTCGAGGAACAAACCTTCAAAATCTAAGTGATGTTCCATGTTTACAGTTACCTTGGATTTTAACTAGGTGTGCAAGTTGACTTATGACCATGGGGAATCCTCTCCATGCATGGATTATGGATTGTTGAGGCCATGGCAGACACCCAGTTCCACAGAAGCAACTTCATGCTCTTCTGAGGAAGATCCAAAGCACTGTGGAACAAGGAATATAAATGAGCGAGGTCACAAAGACTGTACACGGGGTTACCAAAAATGAACCCTGAGGGTGGAAAGTGTACCAGCAAAGGTGTTTTAGAAAAATACAGACATTTAACATGACTTCACTTAGGCTGAGAGCACGGGTGGGAACTCAATAGCCACAGCCTTCCCTAAGGAACAGTAGAAACGCCTGTTGATTCCGAGCTCACTGAGCGAAGTCACATCTATTTGCTCCAAAAAGAAACTTTTTCAGCATTGTCAGAATTAAAAAAAAAAAAAATCTCAGTTATTTAGAAGGGAAAACACCAAATGAAAATATTCAAATTGTAGTGATAAAATATTTGGCCTTTAATCATTTCCAATAAAATGATATTTGACAGTTCCCCACCCATAGTCATACACAAACACACCAATTTTTCAACATTTTATAGTGGCCAAAGAAGGGGCATACATCGATATGTTTATTCATGGGACTCACTCCAACTCCGTTTTTCATATGCGGCTAACCCAGTGGAGCCTCAAATCAGTTCCATCCCATTCCCCGATCCCTCTCCTGATGTCTAAAAGTGGATGTCCTGCACCAGGAGTAGAGTTTCCTGTGGCACGCTGGGAATTATCTGACTGGGGCTTAAATAAGCGTAGTTGATAAAGTTCTCTCTCTCGTCTTCAGCCCCTACTAGGATCGACAAAGGCATTTCCAGAGGCAAGTGGCTTTCTTCCTCTCTTGGCTCATCCTCCTCCGGCCCCTCCTCTTCCAGCTCCTCTTCCAGCTCCTCTTCTTCATCCTCTTCCTCCTCCTCTCCCTCCTCCACATAGACAGCATCTTCCACCTCCTCCTCCTCCTCCTCCTGCTGCTCCTCCTCATCTAGCATCTCCTCCTCGCCATCACACACCTGCTCCTCCTCCTCTCCATCACACCCCTCCTCCTCCGCCTCCTCACACTCTTCCTCCTCCTCCTTTTCCTCCCCTTCCTCCACCCGCTGCTGGGTGGGAAACTGGTTCTCCTCCTCCAGGGGTGGGTAGTCGCCATACAGGATCTCCTGCAGCTCCGGGTCCTCCTCGCCGCCTCCGGGGGGCGCGCCGCTGGCGAAGGAGCAGGCTGGAGAGGCCCCATTGCTCGCCTGGGCCTGCTGCGCCCGCAGAGCCTCCTGCTGGCGCTCCTGCTCCTCCTGCTGCCGCATATCCTCGTAGATCTGGTTCATGATGAACTGGGTGGTGTTCCTGGGGGCGCGCAAGCCTGGCGCCTGCCACCC